AAGAGCGGTGGAAGGTGTATGACTTAAAAGCGATTCTGACCATTTATATGGTCCAACATATTTGGTAAGAGGCCTCTATCGTTGATTACTTGGTGGTGGAATACACAGGAGCATATCTATATGGATGGAAGAGTCACATGTTCATTTTGTGTGCACTGCATCAACTTAATCACTTGGAATAAGGTGGACTTTACTTTTTGAGTATATTTGGACTTTATATATAACTTATGTGATATATGAAGATTGGTTAATTAGCACTGCTTACTTTTTCTTTTTGTACTTGGTAACTGGTGTCACAATTTTATAGTAGCTGCTGTTTTAAGTTATGGACTGAGCATGGATTTTAATTTGGTTATTTAAGTTTTTGACACTGAATATCATTTCATACACTATGCTATCATTATTCTTTAAGAAACCTTTCTGCTATCGTCCAATATAGTGCCATCAAAGTAATTTATTTTATTGGGAGGTGTGAAAACATCATTCATCTGTTTCAAATGATTGATTACTTTATTACTGTATAATCCCAGCACTGGAGGGGAATTGATTTTAGGGAGCTATCCAAATCCTCCTGACTGCAGGCACTCAGAACTCTGATTCATGGCTTCTAGAGAGTAAGACTTTTCCTACTCTGTGTGTTACAAAGAAAGCACAAAAGTAGAATGTATAAGAAGTTGAAGTTGAAGTAGAGTCAAACTTTGGAGTGTCCTTTAAGTCCTTTAACTGCTGAACCATTTGTTTACATGTACAATAACACATGCAACTCTATACTTCAACACTCCATCCGCTGCCATCTTCTGGCCTTTTTTCTGGGTTACCGTCAGTCCTGATCAACAGCTGGCCAACCACTGATGTGCATGAGTGCAGAAGTTACATAATCTCAACATCTGGCTCCATTATCTTCATCCTACAGATCATACAGATGCCAGCAAAGGATCAGAAGGGTACATTACACTGCATTCAATTCAGTTAGTCTACACTATTAAAAAATTGCTATGAGAATGGGAAAGGGTATTTGGCAGAAAAGACATGCAAACTCCCTTCTGCTGAAAAAAAAATTAAAAAAAAAATATCACAAAACGTCTGCTCTAAAAATGTGTTAATTCCAATTTTTTTTTCCATTTAAAAAGAATAAGAAGGGGTAATGCCTCTGTCAGGTTTTCATTGCTGTCTGTGCTCCTGATGAGAAAATGTACCACTTTTAGTTGTCCTATTGACCACCATCACTCAGAAAATCCAAAATGTGAACAGTTACTGAAATGGGAAAAGAAGGCAAATCTTTCATCAGGGGCACTTGTTTCAGTGACAACTGTCTGAGTATATTACTGTTCTTTGAAGAAATCTCCATTCGACTCCTTTTGTGTCTTGTAACAGGAAGTAAAGCACACATTCCCCAACTGCACAAAATAAAACAGGTTTGCCATTTCATAAGGTTTGGCCTTGCCATTTGCCATTCCCTAAGTTTTGGTTATACTTTAAAACCAATAAAGAGTCACCAAACCACATATCTGAAAGCAGCAGACCTACCGCATATTATTACAATCATAACTGTTTATGTATATCCCTTGCACAAGTTGATCAAAGCTAAATTTTAAAGAAAAAGTATGCTACAAATATTAGTTGTGCATATACATAGAATATCATAGAATATAATTTTCAAAATTTCTATCAAACAAACAAGATGCCTCTGTGTTGACATGATTAATATTCTGAGGATACATTTGCATACAATTGCACCAAGGTACCTAGAACCTTTCCACCTCCATCCCAAATCTAACAATCATTAGTGAACAGAACTTATGATTTTCATATCATGTCTGCTGTTTTCATACAAGAAAAAGTGAAAGGGAAAGACCGCACATGGTCAGAAACAAATTACGACCTGGAAGAACATGAAGCCATGAAAATAAATTTTGTAAACATGAACAATATATCGTATGCATAATAATGAGCCATTCAAAAAAATGTAATGAATGTAGAGGTGTAACATAATTCAAATAAATAAAAATGTTTTCTAAAAAACTATGTTTATCTTGTTTATTACAAATTTATTGAAATTGTATGTTGTATATGGTATTGTCTAGCATATCATCCATCCCCATAGACAGAACGAAGAATCTGCAACACTCCTAATGTAAATCATCACTACATGGTCACGTGTGCATTACATAACTTCCTAATCTACACTACAATGTTCCTATGTCAAGGAAAACTGTGTCATGGGTACATTTTTTTTTAAATCTTAATTTGTTAAATGAAGAAATTATGTCAAAAAGTAAATATACTGTATGAAACATTAGCTATAATGTTAATGTAAAATAAATCCATGTTGTATGGGAAACAGTGATGAAAATTAATGATAGGGAGTGTTCCAATAATGCAGTTCTCGAGCTCCTTGGGTGTGCTCATTCCCCAGAATGTAGAAATATTAAACTAATCCAAATATAGCTGGAAGGAGATTTTAGCAAGTAAAGCTGAAGAAGGTGGAGTTTCGGAAAAAAATTCACATGGACAGGCCATCAGTTGGATGCACATGTCATTCTGAATGATCTCATGATGACTATCAAATAATCTAACTTTGTTTGTACCCAGTAATGTCTTCTCATGCCAGAGCCATACACGGATGGATGATGAGTTATCTCTTCTGGTCGAGAGAGGGGATATTCAGCTAAGTTACTAGTAGCCTGCTCATGTTGTAAAATGCCACGACACTCCCCACTTCCTTGCCCAAACTACTTTTATTCCTCTAGATCAGTGGTTCTTAACCTTGTTGGAGGTACTGAACCCCACCAGTTTCATATGCGCATTCACCGAACCCTTCTTAATTGGAAAAATAAAATATGATTTTTTAAAATTCAAAACATAGGTATATATTTATACATAGGTGCACAAAATGAACAAAACCGTTTAGAACAAAGAACAAAACCATTAAAACTTGATTTTCACACAAAAACAAAAACATAATAATGAATATTTACTGCACGAATCATATGAGTCGGGTGTGGGTCTTCACCTCTGCCGAACCCGCAAGACTGACTCACTGAACCCCTGGGGTTCGATCGAACCCAGGTTAAGAACCACTGTTTTATAGTAATTCATCCCCCATAGTAATTCATCCCCCATATAGTAATTCATCCCCCATAGTAATTCATCCCCCCTATAGTAATTCATCCCCCATAGTAATTCATCCCCCATATAGTAATTCATCCCCCATAGTAATACATCCCCCATATAGTAATTCATCCCCCATATAGTAATTCATCCCCCATATAGTAATTCATCCCCCATAGTAATTCATCCCCCATATAGTAATTCATCCCCCATAGTAATTCATCCCCCATAGTAATTCATCCCCCATATAGTAATTCATCCCCCATATAGTAATTCATCCCCCATAGTAATTCATCCCCCATATAGTAATTCATCCCCCATAGTAATTCATCCCCCATAGTAATTCATCCCCCATATAGTAATTCATCCCCATAGTAATACATCCCCCATATAGTAATTCATCCCCCATAGTAATTCATCCCCCATATAGTAATTCATCCTCCATATAGTAATTCATCCCCCATATAGTAATTCATCCCCCATAGTAATTCATCCCCCCTATAGTAATTCATCCCCCATAGTAATTCATCCCCCATAGTAATTCATCCCCCATATAGTAATTCATCCCCCCTATAGTAATTCATCCCCCATATTAATTCATCCCTTATATAGTAGTAGTAAGTAAGTAGCAAGTAGTAAGCCAAGTCCCCCCTGTGTCAATTCACTTACCTTTGCTCCGCGCGTTCCTCTCGCCGTATTCCCGCGCCGTTCCGGTCTTCAGGGCGGACAGTGAGAGGAGCCTAGCTCCTCTCACGTTCGTCACGCTGCCCCGCCTACACACATCCTGACAGCCAATCACTGGCTATCAGGATGTGAGTGGCAGCGAGACTGGCCAATCATTGCATTTGAGCGTGCTGCCCTGGCTGTTTTTTTTTTGGATCACGCTGCAGAGTCCCTGCCGCCTGAGAGGAGGGAGGGGAGCGGGCGCCCGGCACACAAGAGCCGCATTAAAGCGTGTAAAGAGCCGCATGTGGCTCGCGAGCCGCGGCTTGCCGACCACTGGGCTAAGCGATGTTGCGTGACCACCTGCAGCCAATGATGGACAAGCGGGGCATGTCATCACGAATCATATGAGTCGGGTGTGGGTCTTCACCTCCGCCGAACCCGCGAGACTGACTCACCGAACCCCTGGGGTTCGATCGAACCCAGGTTAAGAACCACTGCTCTAGATTTTATGTACAACAGTTATTAACAAGGAGAACTGAACAGTGATTAGCTCACAGTACAGATCTTGATACGATACTATTCACTGTTACCTCAAAAGGAACTTAATATGTTTTCAATTAAAACCCCAATTTAAAAACAGTTGGGACACTATGTAAAAAATCTACAAAATGAAATGATTTGCAAATCTCATAAACCCGTATTTTATTCGCAATAGAAAATGGCAAACATATCAAATGTTTTAAACTGAGAAAATGTACCATTGTAAGAAAAAAAAATAGATAATTTTGAAATTGATGGCAGCAACACATTTTAACCACTTGCCTACAAGGCACTTATACCCCTTCCTGCCCAGGCCAATTCTCAGCTTTCAGTGCTGTCTCACTTTGAATAACAATTGCGCGGTCATGCAACACTGTACCAATATGAAATTTTTATTATATTTTTGAGACAGAGCTTTCTTTTGGTGGTATTTAATCACCTCTTGGTTTTTTATTTTTTGCTAAACAAACAAAAAAACAACTGAAAGTTTTGCAAAAAAAAATTTTTTTTTTTAGTTTTTGTTATAACATTTTGTAAATAAGTGATTTTTCTCCTTCACTGATGTGCGCTAATGAGGCTGCAGTGATGGGCACGAATAGGCTGCACTGATCTGCACTGATAGGTGGCACTAATGGGCACTGATGAGGAGGCACTTGTAGGTGGCACTGATGGGCATTGACAGGCATCACTGATGGGCACTAATAGGTGGCACTGATAGGTGGCACTGATAGGCGGCACTGATAGTCAGCACTGACTGGCACTGTTAGGTGGCACTGATAGGCAGCACTGATGGGCACTGATAGGTGGCACTGATGCACACTGATAGGTGGCACTGAATGGCACTGATAGGCGGCACTGACTGGCAACACTGATTGGGGGCACTAACTGGCATTGATAGGTGACACTGAAAGGTATGTACATGTCCCCTCTGAGGAATGCCGATTACCGGCTCTCCTCTCCTCATGAGCTGTCAGAGTGACAACTCGTGAGGAGAGAAACGTCGATAACCGGCATTTCCCTATTTACATGCAATCAGGTGTGATTGGACACAGCTGATCACATGACCGAGCCGACGTCTTCGGCTCTTTCCGTTGATTGGTGATCCGCTGTACCAGAGGGATACAGCACACCACCGATTGCCACACTGCGCACCCCCAAAGCTGCACATGCGTGGTTAGAGTGGAAGGACTTCATATGACGTCCTCCCAGAACGAGAGAACCGCTTTGCGCCCATCATTTCCTTATATGGCGGGCGGGAGGCGGTTTAAACCAGTTGGGACAGGGCAACAAAAAGCTGTGGTGGTACTAACAAGAAGGAGATAGAAGAACATTTTACAACTAATTAGGTTAATTGGAAACAGGTCAGTAATATGACTGGGTATAAAAAGAGCATCATAGAAAGTCAGAGTGTCTCAAAAATAAAGATGGGCAGAGGTTCACCAATCTGTGAAAAGCTGCATCTATAAATTGTCCAGAAATTTCAGAATAATATTCCTCAACAGTACACAATATCATCAAAAGATTCTGAGAATCTGGAGAAATCTCTATGCACAAGTGGCAGTTCAGGAATACTTACAAAAATCACTGTCTGTGAACACAGTTCACCAAGTCCTCCAAAAATACAAGGCAAAGCTCCTTCATGCAAAGAAGAAGCCATATCTGAACATGATCCAGAAATGCAGCTGTCTTCTCTGGGCCAAAGCTCATTTAAAATGGTCTGTTGCAAACTGGAAAATTGTGCTGTGGTCAGACAAATTGAAATTTGACATTATGTTTGGCAACCGTGGCCACCATGACCTCCAGACTATAGAGAAGAGGGACCCCTTGGCTTGATATTAGTGCTCAGCTCAAAACCCTGCATCCCTGATGGTATGGATTGTATTAGTGTGTATGAAATGGGCAGCTTGTACATCTGCAAAGGCACTATTGATACTGAAATATATAGCCAGGTTTTAGAGCAGCATATATTCCCATCCAGACAACATCTTTTTTAGGGAAGGCCTTGCATATTTCAGCAGGATGCAGCTAAACCGCATACTACACCTATCACAACAGCATGGCTTTGTAGTAGATGAGTCTGGGTGTTTAAGTGGCCTGCCTGCAAATATTTGGTGCATCTTGACATGAAAAATATGACAAGGGGGACCCAGGACTGTTGAGCAAGCAAGATTATGAGGCAAGAATGGGACAATATTCTTCTCCCAAAACTGGTCTCCTCATTTCCCAGATATGTAGTTTTGTTAAAAGAAGAGGGGATGCTACACCATGGTATGCATGGCACTGTCCCAACTTAGTTAAAATATGTTGCTGCCATCAATTTCTAAATATTATTTTTTCTTAAAAATCCTCAATTCAAACATTTCATATGTTTTCTATTGTCTACTGTGAATAAAATATGGGTTTAAGAGATTTGCAAATCATTGCATTCTGTTTTTACGTAGATTTTACACAACGTCTCAGCTTTTGTGGAACTGGGGTTGTAAAACTAATTTTTAGGCATTTTTATTGTTTATGTTTTAGTATATAAAAATAAATGTTATATCATTTTAAAATATTTAAATATATTCATGATCATGTTTCATTTAAAGACAAGATGGCTCTAGGCTGCTGGAGACAATATTGTTGAACATAAAGCTCCCTCGGAGTTATATTGATCTCAGTAAAAATGTCTTGAATTAGCTCTGTCATTAGACTTGAACTTTGATAGGAGGAGCACCAAAGCACATTCACTGTTCTGTGCTACTAGTAAGCATGGTCATTGTGACATGGATGCTCATTTGCGGTATGATTGATTTTTACCTGCCAATTGGTTTTTCAGCAGCTGGACTGTCATCTGCTCTGGGTTTTCTGTTTGTCAGTTAATTGCTGGTCCCTTGTCTGCTAGGCATTTTGTGACTGTCTAACCCTCTGCTTCTGCTGCTTCCTCTGTTGTTGCTCCTGGGTCATTCTTTCCACCCACTCCTGCTGCCTTTCCTGTTCCTTCTGCTCAACTTTGTCAATTGATCCTCATTATAAGACCTCCTCTAATCATCCCTGTGTCCTGGGAAATGTACTAAAGCTCCATGTATGCTTTCTGGTGTTTTTGCTTGTTGAGAGGTGTGTGTTGATTGGCTCAAGCTCCTTTAAAAGGTAGGTTCTTTGCGACCTATCCTAGGTTTGTGTCTCCCATAACCTGCCTTGGATCCATCTGCCTTGTTATATTACGATCTGAGTTTGCATGTCTTCCCAGATCCTTTTTCCTGACTTTGAGGGTACTCCTTCTTCAATGTCCTCTGTTAAGACTTCATATTCTTATAAAAGCTTCTTTCTGATCCTATGTTCCATAAGTGAACTTCCCAGTAGAATCCTAATGGTTTAAGTTATGATTTAATGTTACTTCTACTAACTCTTTGGCACTTTTACCTTCCTTGGTTATGACCTGAGCCTATCTTCACTTCTCCAATACTGGTTATTCATTGCTAGGGAACCACTACCTGGTTGCAAGTGAGAGACAATGCATGGCAAGTGTACACAATAAATGTCAGTTAATTGCTGACATTGGTTGTTTTGCGATGTGCATTGCCCTTCCATGTGCACCTTGCTGCTAAGGCTGGTTATAGGTTGGGACGGTTGCCATTTTTTTTTGTAGTTGGCTAAATTGGATGCATGGACACACTGGATGCCTTTGTTGTCATTTTGGTATAGCTGGACATCATGTGCATCCTTATACCTTTAAAGAGGTATAGGCTCCTCCAGGCACACCTACTCTTAACCTATCCATGTATACTTGTGCTCCTACTATGGAGGCTTTGGCAATTTTAGTTAGCTCCACAGTATATAGAGGACCCTTGACGTGGGACTGTGGCTTACACATGTATTTTCAAATGTGTGCAAACAATACCCTCTGTTTTTTAACGCAAACTGTTAGACAGGGCCAAATTGGTTGTTTTGCAGGTTGGCTGGTAAGTGTTGCTGGGAAATCCTTTGTTTGTTTTGCGATGTGCATTGCCCTTCCATGTGCACCTTGCTGCTAAGGCTGGTTATTGGTTGTGACAGTTGCCATTTTTTGTTTGTATACACAATAAATGGCTTTCTGTTCTTAACATCATCTGAACCATTACAGTTACTGTATAAGTATAAAAACCAACAAAAGGATTTACAATTGGACTGGTCAGTACTATTGGATGAAAATCTGATATATTGACCTAAACACTTTCCTTTGGAGTACTTATTGTTTTTCCCTTTCATGGAAAAGAAGTGAGTCATATTGGCACAATGTTCTTTGCAGGATGTGAGAGTACATGTCCTGTACATAAAACTATTATCCACAGTTGAATGTCATGTGTATAAATACCTTTAGGGTATATCAACATAGTTATTAGTAATTAATGTCTTCTTCATTTTATTTCTGCTTGCAGAATTAGGGGGAGAAGGGGAGGATGAAGAAGCTAGAACTCGTTTAATTGCATCTCTGCACATCCAACTTTTCAATTAAACACACACAAAGAAATGCAGGGTGTATAAAGTACATATAAGAAAAATAAACATATTGATGCAAATATATGTATATATATTCAGAGAGAACACATATCAAGATTACATGTCATATGCATTTAGTCTGATTAGTAGATAATAGCAGCAGCTATCAATCAACTATAACTATAAGTAATATTGACAACACACTTGAAACTGTTACAGTGTGATTAAAAGTGTGATCCAATAATCTCAAATAATGCGACATTTAGGTTTAACGTTAGCAGAAAGGCTTTTTTTACAGTAAGAAAATGTGAAATAGACTTCAACATTAGATAGTTGTAGCTAACAATGGATATTGATTTAAAAAAAAAAGGTTGGGTGTATTTCTTAAAGTGAAGCTATGCTCACCCCTACTCCAGCAATGCAGTGTCCAGGAGCTCCCTGATGGACGGTCTTCTTCTGGGTTCTGATCATGGGAGTTCTTATGGGAGTGCTTTCATCTCTGCAGATACCAAAATTGTACATTAACCTGCTCATGCTCAGATCAGTGTACAGTGCGAACAGGCAGGTAGGGATACTTTAAAGCAGAAGAGAAGAGGTATTGCCTTTTTCGTATAAAAAACAAAAAATGCCTGTTCACTTTATATTTTTTGGAGTGATGTTCCACTTTAATGCACAAAATGTAATTGTCCATTAATAAACATAGGTAATAACATTGTAGACTGTTGAATCAGGGAGTATGTGATTGCCTTAGAAGGATTTTTTTCCCAGCTGAAGCAGATCCAATGAAGCTTCATGGGTTTTTTTGCATTCCTCTGGATCAAGTGTGGGTTCAGGGTTTTGAAGATGTAGGTTTTTAATTTATTTATTTTTATCTTTTGGTTGAAATTAATGAACATATGTTTTTTTTCAGCTTGACTATGTAACTATGTATTCCCATTATTGTCTGAGAAATCAAAATTCACAACATTACTCAACTGACTGTGATGAACTCTGAAGTTTGGGAGACCTAGCCAACCGTTCAGTAATACCTTTGACAATTGGTTAACCATTTGTCTACATGCCCCAAAAAAACTTCTTTGGAGTTGCGTGTGTTGCACGCCCTGCCCTTATCCCCACTGTCCATCCCCCCTGCCCCCCCATGCCAAATTTGCTGGCAAATCTGTGAAAATGACAGCCAGGAGTTGCTGTGTAAATACAGCAACGATTACAGTCACTATTGTCAAAAAATTTTACCTTCTGAGATAATATTTGAAAACGCTGTTCCAATGAGGGATTCATAGATGCAAAGTAACATTATTACTCTTGTATTTTCGCTGTTCTATTCATTTGACAATCAAAAGGGGTGATCTTGAATCTCAATATTAGGTTGAATAAAGCAATATGACAAAACATTTAATGAAATAATATATTTATTATAAAATTTGTTTATATAATAAAAACATTTAACCCCTTAATAATAACAATCATTGTTTACCGTATTCAGCATTATTTAACTCCTTCTTCCCTTTACTATTTTTTTCCTG